ATGGTAATTGATCAAACTTTTAAATTTTAAGAGAATCTAAAATCTGAAACGACTCAGAGTGTCTCACAGTGTCGCAAAATTAAAATTAGACGCTCAAAATTCTGTGTATTCTTAACCAGTAGAGAAATTCAAAGAAATTTTCTTAAATACAGTTTTTGAGATGGAGATCCACAAAATTGTTCTTACTAATTTCCAAATGTTGAAGCTTTACAAAATAACTGAATAAAATTATGTAAAATATGAACTTCAATAAACCTTATATATAGTAATAGGAAAAACCAAGAAATAATAATATAACAACATTTATTACTTTATTAACATTTAATTTGTTTATATTTCAAATTTCAAGGAAATCGATTCATTAACAACGAAGTTATCACACATTATGTTCAGACGTATACCTTTGTGTATGCCTAGTATCGCAACTGATATTGCTATAGAAACGAATCTCTCCTTCAATAATCCCTTGTGAAGTTAGCGTATTTGGGAAATCGGAATAGACCGTAAATTACTATATGTTTATTTTTTTTTTTTGTAGAAAATGACTCATTTTATGACGAAGAGAAACTATTTAAAAGTTAGAAGGGTTCGAATAGAAATGAAGCGATAACAACAAAAGATTTAAGTTAAATGAAGTGCTTTTGGAAGCACTTTTATTAAACCATATTCAAAATGTATATAAGGCCATTAACACATGTTAAAAAATGTAAAGGCATTCAGTTTAATATAATATTATTGTATTTTGGTTAACATCACTGCTTGGTGAAGACGTGTTCCATTCCGTAATTCAAAGTACTCTTATAGTAAGGAAGCAAAAAGTTCATTTTAAGACAACTGGGAGATGCTACTTCCTCTGTTTAGTGTGTGAAAATCTACGAAAAAAAACTAAAGCAACTGCAAACGTTGAACAAATAAAGTGCTTATTACAAGCACTTTTATTAAATTATATATGAAATGTATATTTTATATAAAAAATATATATATTGTTCAAAACAAAAAAATCATATAAAATATAACCAACTTTGAAAATAGTCGCGAAATGCTACCCGCTGCGGTGCAGGTATAAAAGCCTGCAATAAAATAGAACTGTGCTTCTTAAAATCACTTTTTAAAATCATGTTCTTAAAGCCCTCAAGTCAGGAAGTGTAAAGATATTGAATTTAATATAATGTACGTTGGTTAATTTTTATATTTCATTATCAAAAAAGTAGACAAGTTCGTGACAATATCTACTATTATAGTTGGGAAAAAAAAAGTTGATATGACACATACAAAAGTGCATGGAAATGACAATTTATGCGTTTGAATTGCAAAAATTTATAATAAATCATAACTGCAAACGTTGAATAATGTTTTTTGAGAGCACAAATTTCATTATTGCGACATCCTTACAAAAGCATATCTGAACCATAAGTCTAAAATTGCTTATATCACAATGTCTTAAGATCATCGTGGGTGCATGCTGTGCTGGGTAATAAATCTGTGATCAACATACGATTAAACTGTTATATCTCGCTACAATACTTGACAAGTCCGACTATAATCTAATTATGTAGAAAAAGTTGTTTGCAAGAGTAGTTAACAAATATGGACATTTGGAGTTGCTACATCCAGGTACTGCTCTCTATTTTGTGATTACCTATAAACTTACTACTGAGCGCTTCCATACTTTTTTTATACGCGTTCTCAATCCCTGTTTGACTACTTCAATGAGATGTTTTTCCGTTTTCAGTTTTATACTTTAATCCTTAATATTAAAATCTACTCCTTCGAGTATACTCTTCAAGAGTACGAATACTTACTAAATACCCATCAACGTCTACAATTAACTTAAACTATATTTTCACTCCAAGCTTTAAAAAGTAATAAATTTCAAATACTTATGCTTCACTTCCTGCTTAATAAAATGTGATTTTAGCTGGAAGTCTTTTACAGTTCAATAGCTGGTATTTTTCACAACTCATTCCTAAGAGGTGGTTTTAGTGGACTTTTCTACCCTACAACAAGAAAAGATGCTACTGCCAGCATCGTTAAATTCCACTAGTGCAACTTCCTTCTTTCACTTTTTAGCATTTCTCTCAATTTTATCTGATAATGGTTTTCAGGTTTGTATACTTTTTACTGTTTGTAGTTCAGATATCTCTGTCCATACCTTCTATCGAAAACAAATTCATTGCGATGATGACTACTTAGTATACTCTAGGTCTATGTGTCCATATAGGGTTAGTAATTCTCAACAATTATTTAAGTTTTTTGTCATACTTGAAAACTTAAACTAAATCTTCTAAAATAGTCAGCTACTGTCAGCACGGAGAGTTCCCGCTATCATCTTAGGAGTTACAAGCCAACTGAGATTAACCTAAAACGTGTTACAAATATTTAACTAATGGCAAGCATTAATCCAATTATTCCATCTATAACTCTACTAATATTAAGCTGATGAATAAGTTCTTGTTATCTTTAGCTCATCGATACATTTACAGGCGTTATAATGTAGCAGACGATATACTCCGCACTTATCAACTGCCTTCTGATATGCTACTGACTATGAAGCACAACATCCTCAGTTTTTACCTGTGGATAATATTGCCCAATCTTACTTCCAATTTGATTGTATAATTTAGGTTACAAAAACCCTTCACTGATTAACTTTTTATTATATAAATCTTAATTTCCATTTTTCCCATTTTTCCATCCATTAATGCAACACAACCCCGTTTTTTTTCATTTGGACCTCTTTCTCCTCAAAATCGTGGTTTCGTCACAATATGTATTGTTTTGTATCTGCTAGAAATAGTTATTGGTCCCTTCAAAATTGTGCGATTCACTCCTCAAAACCGTGGTTTCATCACGATCCTTTAATATACACTGTTTTGTATCTTCTAGACATACTTGCAGATCCCTTCAAAATCGTAGGATGTAACCTCGAAAATTATATCAATTATGTGCTAAAATCGCAGAGAGTATACCAAATTCTCTATATACGTGTATATATAAGTATATATACTATACTATTTAACTTCCATTCCGATAATATACCGCATCGTACCAGTTACTCCCTTAACCTAATCTAGATAATGTGAGTCTTCATTATTTAATTTGAAGTTAAAATTTTATAAATTTTTTTTACACAAACAATTTCCTGCCATGAAACGCAAAAAAAAAAAACTCTAACCAGTGTTGCCAAATATTTTCACCTCGTCAAGGCGTTAATAAACGGTAAAAGTTCAACGTCTGTTAATAAACTTTGGCAGCAGCCTTTGGGCACAAAGTGGCTCGGTTATATACAAAATGGATGAACTTTGAATTGGAAATGCGAACGCGTTCAGATTGTGTGCCAGTGAAAGTTGTGCTTGGCGCCTTAAACTCCCTTAAGCGCAACGGATTTATCACGTTCTAACAACTCAGTTAGAAATCAAGCATCTGCAGTTCAGTAGCATTCCGAGCAGATAAACCAACAAAAAATCAAAGGAAAATAGTACAAAGGATGAAGATACATTTTGGCAGGTTAATAATGAAGGAAGATTTTAGTACTCGTAGCTGGCATATGTGTGTGCACTCATGTTTAAACAATGGCAGATAAACAAAGCGTTTAAGGTGTTCCTTCCTCCTTCCTCCACACTTCCATTTCATATCTATTTTGATGGTTAAGTATGGGCAGGTATATTAAATTATCTAGATTAACCTAAATCATGTCAAAAAGTTACATGTGAAATAGAATGTATGAAAAGAAGAAAATAAAAAAAATTATATTCACAATTTTGATGGCAGAGAAAGATACATTTAGTAGATTGGAGGAAAATTAATTTAGGAATAAAAAGAACTAAAATATTTTTATTACATTTCAAAGTAAAATTTAATAACTTTATTAATTAAAACTTATAATTAACAGTGGTATCAACCATACACACAAATTTTAAAGAGAAATAATGATAAACACACATAAAAAGTGCATAGTTTTGAACCTGCGATTATGGAACTAATATTCATCTCTAGTATATATAGGTTCCCTTCTTTAGACACACCTTTCTTTCTTCAGTACACATTTGTTGGCGATAACGTTGTGCATTAACTATTTCGCCGGCTTTCAGTAGATCATAATACACAATACCGCTCTAGTCCCTCCAAATACAAAGCGTGGTCTTTTGTCAAAGTTATTCAGCCTTAATTTTGAAAGACTAGCTTTACCAGGTGAAAAGCTCGTTTTTTTTCGCTTCGAGTTTTCAAAACAAATCAATTTTTCGTCACGATTTTTCACTCTCTTGTGGTCTACCAGAGAGCTTACTGTCTTTCACATATAAATCACCATTTTTAAATTGTCGAAACCATCTGTCATATGTTTTCATCGAACGATCGTATTCTCCATATGTTTCTACCACCAAACGATGATATTCAATTGCTTTTATTTCTTCGTTAAAAATAAAAGCAATGCATTCCGCAAATGTAGTTTTGCAGTCACAAAATCCGGTATGATCACTGAATGATTAAAGAAAATTGAGTCCACTTGTTGGATTCAACTCGACTCTAGTTTGATGTCAGCCAAATAAAGTAATTTTTCTGTTTCTTTTTTTAACGATGATCTGGATGGTCTTTGCTCAAACAAACGGATTGTTAATAAAAATAATAAGTAACACATCAGATATGTCAGAACCTTATTTGTTGCTTTATTTTTTATCTTCCGACTGCGACCTTCAGACACCTATTTTGATTTTCTACAATTTCTTCTGCTTAAACTACTCAAAAACCACTCACGGGTTTTAGCAGCAAGGATACCCCTAACATTTCAGTTATAACTTCTCTCTTTATTCCTTCACACAACAATGATAATACATAAACCAAAAAAACGTTAACGTAGTTGTCATTTATATCTGCTACCGGCTGTTTGTCTTTTGGCAACAGATGGCCATGCGAACGCAAAATATAGTTAGTATTATTCACAGCCACAAAACTTTACTTCTCGAGTTCGCCCAGATCCAAAAAACATTGAAGCAATCAAGACAATGCCTGCGCCAACCAATCAATCCGAACTTAGATCACTCTTAGGTGCTATCAATTTTTATGGAAAATTCATAAATCATATGCGCAAATACCGAGGACCATTAGACGAACTACTTCAAAACAACAAGCAGTGGCAATGGACGGAACTTCATCAACGCTGTTTGGATGGTTTCAAGCAAATTTTGTCATCAGAGTTATTATTAGTGCATTACGATCCACTGAAAAACATAGTAGTCGCTGCAGATGCATCTAACTATGGGCTCGGAGCTTGCATTTTTCATGAAGCTGACAACGGTTCAATGAAAGTAATATGTCATGCGTCCAGATCACTAACGCCCACAAAAAAACAATATAGCCAAATAGAAAAAGAAGCTCTTGCGGTTACGAAATTTCACAGAATGGTTTTTGGGAGAAGATTCAAACTTCAAACAGATCATAAGCCTCTTCTAGTTATATTTGGTGATAAAACTGGAATTAAGGTGCATCAAGCAAATAGACTTCAACGTTGGGCAATTAAACTGATTGCATACGACTTCGAATTAAAGTTTATTTCAACTAACAGTTTTGGGTATGCAGACGTTTTATCACGACTCATACATAACACAATCAATCCTTCAGAAAACTATGTCATCGCTGCAGTAGAGTTTGAAATTGAAAGTAAACAAATTTTACATAACTCACTTGATAAGCTGCTGCTTACCAGCAAGATGATTACTTACGAAACAGCTAAGGACAAGGTTTTAGCTAAAATTCTCGAATATGTAACTGAAGGATGGCCATCAAACTGCAACAACAGTGAGTTAAAAGCTTACTTTAACCGAAAAAACGACATATGTATAGTTGACGGATGTTTAATGTTCGGACAACGCATTATTATACCTCAAATTTTCCGAAAGCGCATTCTTAAAGAAATTCACCGAGGTCATCAAGGCATAGGTCGTACTAAAGCCATCGCGCGGAACTACGTTTATTGGTCAAATATCGATTACGATATTGAAGCAATGGTGAAAAGTTGTTCAAATTGTGCCGCAGCAGCTAAAATGCCCACAAAAACAACTTTACATCCTTGGCCAAAACCTTCTGATTCTTGGGAACGGCTCCATATTGATTATGCAGGACCAATAGATTCATACTACTATTTGGTCGTAATCGATGCGTTCTCAAAATGGCCAGAAATTATACAAACAAAATCTATAACAGCAACTCAAACAATTTCCAGCTTGAAAGAAATTTTCGCTAGATTTGGGTTACCGAAGACAATAGTTTCAGACAATGGTACTCAATTTGTGAGTCACCAATTTCAACAGTTTTTAGCGTAAAACGGCATTAGTCATATACGAAGCAGTCCGTACTATCCCATGTCAAATGGACAAGCTGAAAGGTTTGTGGATACTTTAAAGCGAGCACTCAAAAAGTTAAATGGGAAGGGGGTAACTGCTGAAAATCTTCAAACATTTCTACAAGTTTACCGATCAACTCCGAATAAGCAAAATGAGGACAGTAAATCGCCAGCTGAAGTTTTACTAAAAAGAAATATCCGTATTAAACTTGACTTAATTAAACCAACGCTGGTGTCTTTACCAGACCCAAATGCCAAGTTTAAAAATAAGTGCAATACACAACTCAAAATGAAAGCGCAGTTTGACAAAAGGCACGGTGCAAAGCCAAAGAATTACGAAAAACAAGAGCTCGTTTATGTCAATATATTTAAAAACAAACACTTTGAATGGACAAAAGGAAAAATAATCGAACGCATAGGTAACGTCATTTATAATGTTCGCTTACAAAATGGCAAACTTATTCGTGCACATGCCAACCAAATTCGTGACCGTAAAGATCAAGAAAATGAGTTATCTTTAAAAATATGTACTTCCGAAGATATCGCCAACGAAAAGTGTTTAGTTGATGCATTTGGCCTCTACGAAACAACACCTAAAGATGTGGTCGAAATAACTAACAACAACATGGTTTCGACTCCAGATCAATCTTTCAACGAGGTAACCGAGATTGCAATCCCTCAAACTGAGAAGCACAATGAGACAGTTGTTCCGTATACCCGACCAAGGCGTACTAGACATCCTATTGACCGTTATAGACCCTAGAATCACCGCATTGGAGATTTAATCTCAAAAGGGGAGGTGTTGGCAACTCTGCCAAGATGACAGATGACAGATAAAGAAGAATTAATATTTTAATTCTGTCAGTTATTTTGAACTTGTGAAATAATAATAACTTGGAGTTTTTTGAATAAATAAATATCTAAATTATACAGATATAACAGGGAGTTATTCAGCAAAATTTTAATTTCTACGGCCGCGTTTAAATTCAGCATATTAGTCAATAATAGTTCATTTTCTTGGTGATAAGTCTCCATAACGATTATGAAGTCACTGCTTGGTGTCAACATTATTTTTCAACAGCACTTCAACCTGTAAACCAATTATCAGGATGTGTTGGAATTCTTGACATAAATCGTATGGCTTTTAATTGTCAAAAGCATCGATTGGTTTCGTATGTCTCAGACCGAAGACTGATTCAGTGATGTCATATATGAATACAATACTGTTAATATACTAGTTTATGACATAAAGCATGTACTTAATACATGTATTTCATATCATTACTTTAAATTTATTGGAAATGTCTATTTTACACATATTGAGGATAGTTGAGTCAGTGCACCTGAGCACTTTTACTTTCTATTAACTGCGAGGTTTCTTCAAAACCCCTCTTTGCGCCTTGACTGCATTATTGTTTATCACTTCATCAGACTAAGCAATAACTGACCTCAGATCTGCATACCTCCCCGAGGAGCCTGTAACCATTCTGGGATTTGATGACGCGGTGTTGGTAAGTCTGTCAGTTTTTGCAAATAATTTCAGGGCTCTATCCTTTATATATAATAATAGACTTTTCTTCTCTTGGTGTACTTACCTAGTCCTAATATGAGATTTAATAACACGGTGTTGGTAAGTCTGTCAGTTTTCGCAAATAATTTCAGTGCTCTATCCTTTATGTATAATAATAGACTTGTTTTCTATTGGTGTACTTTCCTAGTCCTAATATCCATTTTGCACGAAAAATTGAATATAAAATTAATTATAAAAAATGTTTCTACAAAGTTTTGAAATCGACGGCCTATTTGGTGCGAAAGTGGTATATATCTTAGTGCTAGGCTTTATATGAAAATATCAGTATTTATATTCTAATCTATTTAATCGGATAGCGATTTTTAATTATTACTTCTTTATTTTTCGGTAATAAATATTGAGTTGGTATTATTGTTGCAACTCTTCTGGAAACTCTGGAAGCAGATCTAATTTTTAAGTATATGTTAAAGAGGATAACCGGCACTTGATCATAGAGAAAAGTGAGTAGGTTTCGGGACGTAAACTCGATCGCTCGTAAAATCAACGAGTTCGTTTGATGTCATTTTATGATTTTCCTATTATAAGAGTGCGACGATTTCTTAAGTTCGTTGAATGGAGTTGTGTGCCATATAGCAATTACTGCTAGTTAACTTTCCAACCTTATTACATTCGGTATAAATAAAGCACTAATATTATTTATTTAATTACAGTATTGGTTCGTCTTTTTTTTCGATGTTCATTGTAGCAACTTTAACACTTATTGATGTTTTATAATTATTTTGTTTTAAAATTAATTAAATTTAATAAATACAAAATAAAAGACATATCAATAAAAATTTCAATAGTTTAAAAAATATTTAATACATAATAGAACGACTTACTTTATAAAAATTTTATATTATAAATTTATTATATTATTACGTTTGACACTGAATAAAATTATCTTTCATTTTTTGGATATATTTTCATGGTTGTCAGTAAAAGTTACACATAAAATTTTCGAAATATTGCTTTTGGATTCAATCTTATGAATAAATTAATTACTGTTAGACACATAATTATAAAAACCATTAGGTACATAAAAAATATTTAAAATTTGATTTTTGGACATTTTTAAGATTTGGTATAGTTTGTTGTCTTAATTGTAAAATATTCGAAAATACAAAGTTTACACTCAAAGCGGGATTAGGATTTCCTCCGCAACCCGACTTGAATTTCCTTCATTTTGAGTACTGACTTGTTGTGAACTGGAATTATCCACCGATTTATTTCTGTCATCTTGGCTCAGACGAATCTTTTCTTTTTCTTTCTCAATTTGCAAAAAATTTTGATCTTGCGAAGGACATTCCAGATGAACGCAATGGAAAATCTTTAAAGATAGATAAAATTATGAATTAATATTTTTCCCTTTGAAATTTCAACAATAAGCTTTAATTATTTAAATTAATAAGTGAATGACAAATAATTATTTATTTAAAGTGAATATATTCTGAATATATAATGAATATTTCTGAATATATATTGAATATATAAATAATAAGTATTTATATAAATAATTTCTAAATAAATTTTTATTTATTTAACAATTAAAAATAACTTATTATTTTATTTGTTACTATAATTAATTATTTTAATTGTTCTACAGCTGGTTTATGATTTCATTATAACACATAATACAAGACAGCAAGTGAATTTGTTAATAAACTTTCACAGCAAATGAAAAAATGAAAAAGAAAAAAATTATAAAGAAATATTGGAGTTTATTATTGTTTAAATAGAGGAGCTAGGATATGTACTTTCTAAAGAAATTCTTTGAACATTGTCCATGTCGTCCAGCTAGTTATTGTTGTTGTCAACTGCTGGGACCTGCTTCTGAAGCCCTTTTGGGAGGTGTCGAATGGCACTTGGTCATCGCTGGCAACGAGTGGATTTGGGACGTAGACACGGCCGTTGTTAGAACATTCTCCATATCGTCCAATAGAAACACAGCTAGTTATTGTTGTTGTCAACTGCTGGGACCTACTTCTGAAGGCGTTTTGGTAGGTGTCAAATGATCTGGGACGTAGACACGGCCGTTGTTAGAAGCAAACGCAGCCAGTAGTTTTATGTAGTTGTCTCAATCTTCAAAGATATTTCAAAGTATCATAAAAAAAAACAGCTTTAAGCATTTTCAAGTTGTAATCGTTAGAGCATTTTTACATTATAAGGAACTAACACTGTTCCAAAGCTGTATTCCATACATCCAGACTAGTGCTATAATGTAATTATGTAAAATAATTTTATCACAAACACTAAATTTAGCTATTAAACATAACCCGTAAATTTTTTTATAATTCAGTTTAATTTCTATTTACTTTTATGTGTTCTTTTCACGTTAATCTTCTATCTCACTCCATGCCAAGTTATTTTAGTGTGGTTATACTATCGTTCCTGGCGATCCACTTAGACTTATTGTGCTAGCATAAAACAAACCAAGGGTTGACAAACCACTTTGTATCTCTAACGAAGCATTAAATGTTCGTAAAAGAAAGTTCTTAAAACTGCCTAAGATCTTCCTAAAAGGGAGACCCTAACCCCCAGTTAATCGTGGTTGGAAATGCACTAGGCAGCGTCAAAACATATGTGAGAAACAACTGCGACAGATAAAATTAAAGAGGATTCAATCTTTTAGCACGGTTCTCTAAACTTGGGATACCCGTTAATAAAACTACTATAAGAGTAATATCCTTATAACGCATCCCAATGATATCGTTAATTTTTTCTTAATCAAACGGGACCAGAATATTTACAGATGTCTACACATGGTTGAAAATTCCCAACTTGTATAAAATTGCTCAATGTAATAAGATTTCAACAACTGTTTGCATGATGCAACTGGCATGCCAGTACTATTCTTTGCAAGGATATTTCCGCCGTGACTTACTAGAGTAGTTTCCTCGTTCAATAGTAAATATAACCTTTTGGTATTCTCCTTCATTTTCCAGCATTTTAAACAAGTTTCTTTAAATCTTGAATTAATTTTTATGAATCGAAACTCTCCGCATTTTCAAATGATTGAATTGAATGAATGAGGTATCGTCTGTGTGTGTGTGTGTGTGTGTGTGTGCACATATAACAATACGTATACGTCGGGGCGTACCTAATCGCTTAGTTGGTTATAAAAGAGAAAGTAGCTAATAAGCTTTTAATTTCATAACTACATCAATCCGTATGAATTCTCTTTCTTTTAAATGATTTTTATTAATTTCTTTTCATTCTTAAAACCGATAATTCCAGTATCTGAAATAGTTTCCAACCTCGGAGGTGTTAGTTTCACAGCTTTGTGACTATTTATCTGTTCCAAATTGCCCATTTTTCTCAATTTTTTTATTTTTGGAAATAACCAGCAAACAGGAACTACTAGATCCGCGAATTTCTTCAGGTTCGGGAATATCTTTAAGTCCATAAATTTATTCAATCCCGCAGAGTCCCGTAGAATACGTTTTTACAACAGTAACACTGGGAAATTTTAATGATACGGAAAATATTTACACAGTTACTATTTATCTTCATTTCCCACAATTAAGCTATTATCATCAGTGCATTAGCATTTTATGGACACATTTTGGATTCCGTCGACCGTACTTGTTTCTGGGCCGCACTTGCTTAATCTCTCCTGTCAATCATATTAAAGGTGCTGGACCTTATTTCCAAATTTTTGAAGAAAATATTCACTAAACTCAAAGTGCTATTACTTTGTATATTCAAGATGATCACGCTACGGCCGTCGCAATTAAATCCAGAAAACGGGACGATACTGTGTTCTTTCAGAAGACACAGCGACTGATAAGTTTAGAAAGAGAAACTTCATTCAAAAATTATATGGCAATTATATTATTATATGGAATTATAGTCTCTCATATAAAACACATACAAATATATATAATGTAAAATATGTATTGTATACATTATACTATAATTGAAATTTATGGAGTCAAATCCTTAAATTCTTCACCTCAAATAATTTAAGTCCTTATATATTTATTGCAACAAAATAATATAATTCTTATATTTACCTCATTTGCAGTGTTGTGAGTGCCAACAATTTTGATGAAAGCCACAGGTCTTGGTCTAAAAGAAAAATTCTGCCAAGACTTCGCTAATTCACTGCGCTTGTCAACTACCATTTCCCAATCTTTTTGATTCACAGACGTTTCAATATAGAAACTATAAAATCTATCATCACAGTCCCACAGCAAGAGACGCATGGTTCCAATATGATATGGTTGGCCTAAATTATTTATAATTCTTTTATTTTTTCTTTTGTAAAAAAAAAAATTAAATAAATAAATTTACCGAGTCTAACAAGTATATCTCCGCTACCTAACTGATGGCAAGTATAGCCGGAATCCCAATCATAATTTGTGTAATCACCATTGATCAGTGCATTACGAGCGCGACTGACTCCATCGATGACAATAGCACTCATTTCAATAGTAGCCACATTTGCTGTAGGTGCAACAACATCTCCAACTATTTTAGGTATAAAAGCTGTGTAATAAGCCTCCAAAGTCACAAGATGGAACACCTAAAATAGAAACAAGTTTATTATATTTGCACAAAGCATAAATATTTTACATAGTAAATAACATATTTATATTATATTTAATTAAACAATGCATATACATTTAGTTGCATTAGCTTAAAATATTACCTTGTTTAAAGTATTTAAAGTGCCTACAATGCGTATGTAGCGTACTGGACGTTCTTTAAAATATAAAAATTGCCAAGATCGACAGAGATAGTGTGAGTAGTCAATGACACGTTCCCAGTGGTTTTGGTTAACGGAAACCTCTATATAATAGGAGTAGGCACGATTGTCACGATCCCAAAGCAACATCTTTACATGGTTAATAATGCATATTGTGCCTAACTCTACAGTAATATTATGTTCATTGTTTTCGGTGATACAATGACGCGTATAGCCTTTCTCCATATCGTAGCTAACGGAATCACCGTCTAATAAAGCCATTCGGCACTCTCCCTGTATAGTACGTGAATGAAATTTATCTGTAGCGACATTCTCTTCTGGCCATAACGCAGCACGATATGGCAAACATTTAGACGTTGCTTGCTCGTCAATGGCATCAAGCAATTTCTCGGCTGGAAGGATACCTGTCGGGCGCACAACATGTAATAACTGTTCCAAATTCATCAACGGTAAGCGTACCAATGAAACCACAGACTGAAAAATATTGCAAAATAATATATTTACATGTATATGTATATCAAAATTGTGTATTAACCTCGAAGTTAACGTTCGTGTTATGTTCGCACCACTTTGATACTGCTTGAAATATATTAACTTCAGGTACAAAAAATGAGTCGCGCACCAGCATCTCCTGCAGCGCTTCCTGCAAAATAAAATACATAATCAGTATATTAGGAAAGTAAAAGTAATATAATGTTGGATAGATATAATATAATAAATATGATATAGACATGTTCATTCGCTATTATAATTAATTAAAATGCACGCAAGAATAGACATGACTGCTATTTAAATTTACGACACTTTAATCCTTTCCAAAAGCAGTTGAGACTTGAGACTCACAAAAAACTAGATAGATTTCTCCATAAGACATTGGAATGGTTAAAGCCATAAGATCAATTAGTAAATATTATTATTAATTAACAATTACCTTTGATAAAGATTTGAAAGATTCACATTTTATAATTTCTTCTGCATTTCGGTCCATGAATTGCAAAACCACTTCTGTCAGTTTGTCTAAATTATACAATCGCGCCGCATCCAATATCGCACAAGCGTTAAAGAGCGACAAATGACGCCTTAAGAAATCTGAAATGGCATATTCCAACTCCGTAAATCCGTATTGATTTGCTAAGCCGAGTATGTCCAAAATGGTTTCTTCGTCCATCTGTGAGAGCGGCATGTGGCCAGAGTAAATATATTTTAGTAATACTTTAAAAGCGGCTAAAGGGATTTTTAGTTCTATTTCACTCTGACTGGACTCGCTCAATCCACCATAAAGCATCGCCCGAAAATATTCTGTCCTCGCGGCAAGTATAACTCTATGTGCGGGTATTTTTTCATTTTCAACAATAAAAGTTACATCCGAATAATCATCGTTCATGCAGAGTTGTGACATTTGTTCAGAGAAACGTTCTAAATGAAAAAAATATTGACAAATAACAAAGAGATATACATATATTTATCAATAAAAATTATGTGGGCGTGGTTTTAATATTTACCAGTTAGTTGAATTGTGTTTTCCTGTTGTTTCGTTGGTGTTAGACTTACGGCAGACATTCTACGATGACTTTCACTGCTCATCTTCCTTCTAGGAGGCTCATAAATATGATGTTGCTGTCTAAAGCTCCTGTAATATAACGACACCCCATCCATTTTAATTTGTGTTAAAAGATTTTTTACAAAATATAATTTGATCCTTACAATAGTAATTCAAAAAAAAAACAATTTTTATACCAATATCAATCATTTAAAAAACAAACAATTCTATATAAACATCAGCCAACTATATTAATATTATTCCGGTAGTAACGCAATAATTTCCATTGATATTTTTTGTTGGAAATTCAAATGACACTGGAAGTGTGTTCATTACAGGGTTGCATTTCAGTATTTAAAATATTTAAAAATATTTCAAGCGTTAAAATGATAGCTGCTCACAAATTAAGTTTATACAAATTTTTCTATAAGTTATTATTTTTGTTAAATAATTTGTATACATTGTAATATTAATTAAACAGCTTTTATATATAACTTTTTATTTACAAAAAAAGTTTATTACTGCATAGCACTTCCAAAAAATTTGCACTACATTAGTCATTTCATATATTTTAATCTTATAATACAATGATATTATAAAAAGCTTAATAAATAAAGTTATAACATAAAATGAAACAAACTTGCTCGTATATCACTAATATAATGTGGGCAATTAAAATATATTAAAATTAAAAGGAAGTTTGACAGGTGCTTTTAAGATAACTGAAAGCATTTTGTCGTTCATTTTAGAAATTTGATTTTCAAAAACATTTATAATGTTAAAATAGAGACAGTAGTCACAATTAAATAGAATATTAAAATAATTCCACTAGATTAATTTTAAAATGTAACTGGCAACATACAAAACAGAATAATGTAAACTTAAAACTGTTCTACGACCTCGAACAGAAACTTTATGTAATTATGACAAATAAAATAAAAGCGTGTCAGTGAAGTAGTGCAACTTCAAAATATGCACTATTTAAATTTTGTATTAAATATATCTTAATATTTTTTAATCATTTTCGTTTAAGTGAATCTATAGAGATATTCACAGTTTCTTGCAATTGCTTGCAATCTCAATTTTACTAAACCCAGGCAATATTATAGTTGAGGCTGGTTGAGTGACTGCATTTGAGCACTTTTATTCTCTGTTACCTGCGAGGTTTCTTCATAATCCCTACCATGTCTATACGCTTGCAATGAAACAAAAAAGAAAAAAAAACAGAAACAGCGGTTTTGACATCTTTTGCTTTTCATGTGAATGTGGTATGTTATAAAAACAACAGTTTCATTTTGATTTTGCAATTCAACAGAAGTGTTCTAGCCTCCAAAGTGGTCTAATAATATTTCTTCTGTTTTACACTTTAAGTACAAAGTCACTCAAAAGTTGCATCCACACCAAAGCGAACGCTTGCGAACGAACAAACTTTTGCAGGTACCATTACCTGCGAACATTCGCTTTGGTGTGAATGCACCTTTAAATATAATACAAATATATAGATAAACATAAACCAATATGAATAACTTTTTATTTTTGTATACGAAGTCGCTTTTAATTCAGTTACCAATTAAATTTATTTGAATAATAATGCCATGTTTATATAAAGAACTTTAGCTATCGAACTTACATTGTCGTTTCGGTTTTGCTTTGTACTCATCTACATACTCCGATAAAATTTAAATCGTATAAAACTTTCTCCTCAACTTGCAAGGTACTTTAGTTTTTTACTAATTTCAAGAAAATAAAAAATTCACATAATTTATAAAAGTTTTATATGGCCCATGTCAAACTTAAGTAAAATTGAGAATTAAAATTAATTTTAATAACAGTTTTCACACAGCTTACTGCATTTAGTGAATTGAAATCTTACTCATGTCATTTTTTAATATTTTCTATTTTACTTTTTCAATAGTAACTAATTATTTATATCAGAACGGAACAGTAAACACCTAAAGTAATGGTGTTTTTGATTGATAAATCTGGATTCAATCTAAATTTATTTAAACTTTGTCAGATTTTATTGCCGAATCGAATATTTTTAGAGTAATCTAATATTTTTGTAGTAGTGTAGTAGTAGTGTATATCGAATTAAATCAGACATTATTTGTCAAGTCATATAAAATAATTGTTAGTTTCAGGGTAATTTTGCTACTCTAGCAAAGTATCTAGAGTGATATAAATTAATCTCGAGTGTTACACATTTCGTTCGAGTTTTATCTATTGAAAATGAAAAATGGATGGCATAAAAAATTTATACGTAATTTGTAAACATGAAAATAAATAAAATTACTTTTCAAAATTTCTTTTCTTTTGTTTATTTACACACTTCCAAGTGGAGTTCATGTATTTGAATTTTTTATCTGCAGAATTCATCAAATTCAGTCATCGCCAAAATTAATCCCGTAATGTAATTCACGTATAGCATGGCCTATGGAACTACATAAATTTATATATTCTTTTTATTCATATTTATATATTCCAAATATCCAAATATTATGCATAGTTTTTATTATGAAAACACCATACAATTATATATTATATATATAAAAGTAAATTATTATGATATACCATACAAAAATCTGTCATATAAATGAGCTCATTATCAATGTATCAGTTCATGTAAGGCAAAAATGTTGAATGCAACCCTTAAAAATAAATTTCCCACAATGCAAATTACCAAAATTTGAAATATGTGTCGTATATTTTATATGTTAAATTCAAACAAACAGCTAAGTGGTAAATAAAGGCTCTGAGGAAATAAGTATTTAATAAAATCTTTGTTTTTATTAATTGAATATGTAATTGATATATAAAACGTATATAAATTTCCGTGTTAAAATTTGTACTTTACTCGTACATATTTTAAATAAAATTTGTGTGACGTGTAAATCAGCTATTTTGGTTTAAATATTGGTGTTCTTAACAGATTTTACACAAAGCTGTTCCATGAAAATCTGTGAAAAACTCATAAATTGGCACTTTTTTTTGATTTACGCTTTCAGTTTAAACTTTACTTGTTTTTTAATTGAGTTTTACTACGAGTAGCTCGTGGAACATACCTAATGTAACCGTTCACTTATTAATATAACAGAGAAAGTGCCTATATGAGACATTGTGATTTTACTATAAGACTTATTAAAAAGTGCTCTAAGTTATAAAAGATTAATTATTGGTGAATTTATATGAATAATAAAGTTAATAATATGCACAACATTTTGTTTACCAATTTAACACACAACAAATAAGTTATTGCCAATTTAGATATCAAGTAAAATTCTACAATTTTTATAAGTGTTGTATGAATTTTCTGTATGAATAATATAATAACAATAATAATATTCCAAATTTCTTAAAAATACAACCCTGCAAAAGCATATGTTATCATTTTCGGTCATCTGTCATTGTTTTTGTTATTTTATCAGACACTCTCTTCTTGTTAAGGGTACAAATTGAAACGAAAGAAAAAAGAACAGAAGAGTGCAGAAATTGAACGATATTGTTGTTCGATTTGATGGACGGACGTCTTGTGTATTTTGTATCAACTAGTTTTTACTAATTTCTGCAGTTTTGCGTTAAAATGTTTTAAAATATATAAATATATTGTTTCCCGTGGGAATAAAATTATGTTTCTTAAATTTTTCAAAAGCGGAATGTTGGTTTAGTGAAAACAAAGCAAACTGCGTCACAATTAAAGGATAGAAAAAAATCTTGTTTATATAAAAATTTAAAAATATTCTTAATGAACTAAACAGAATTGCATTTGTGAAAAGTTAAAGTGTTTAGAAAACAATAAAACTTTGAAGAAAATTGCTAAATAGAATAAAATTTATTTTAGAAAATTTATGTTTTTATGCAATTGGACCAATTTCTAAGAGATTCACTTGCGAGATTTGAAATTTGCAAAATTATTAAAATTCAAATAAACGTGGTAAGTAAGATTTAATTTTCTATTCGGGCTTTGTTTGATTATTTAATATGAGCCATGTTTGTAAAGAAACGTAAAGAAAAAAAGAAAACATTTGAAGAAATAGAGAAACCTTAAGTTCGAACACGAAAAAGGAAAATAAATACTTGAAAATTATTCTGTTGACTTTTGTTTGTTTATTTTCGTCGTTTCGTTTGTTGAGTTGTTGTTATTTTTGGATCAATTTTGTTGTGTTATTTAAATGCATTCTTTTAAATAGGCAAGAAAAAAAATTTGTGCTTAGTATTCCTAGTGGGGTACAAGGTCATGTCGTTATAATAGCAACGAGTAACGTGAATACGTTTTAATGCATAAATATGAGGAGCAAAGTTTCTGTTAATTGTGGTTATTGTAATTACTACTTTCCGAATTATATAGTATATGTATATATAAAAATTTAACAAATTATGCACTGTACAAATATTTTATTTTATTAAGACATTAAAACTTTAAAATAACTTACTTTATCTCAGTGCTTTAAATTAGTACTAAATAGAAAGATTAATAGCAATTCTGCTTAATTTGTGCTATATTTTATTCGCATTTTATTACTGCTTTAATTTCAAGTAGTTGCTAAGTAATCTGCTGATCATTACAAGTCAAGAAACTAAATACTCTATGCAAAAAAAAAACAGAGAAAAAATACGTTGATTAACAAATAAAAATTAGCATGCCTTTAGTTAAATAAATTAGTTTAACTGTTTAACAAGAATGTGTTAATTTTTTTCTTTTATTAAAAATACAAAAACAAAAACATTTTCCAAAAAAAAGTGGTTGTACCACAAAAGGAACTGGTCGCATATATTCTCATATGCATATGCAGTATACATACACATTCATTCACAGCAGTGACAGCGACAGCGATAGCCACAGTAACAATCTGCACAAAACAACAACAAGAACAACAACAAAATCAAAATAAACATACAAATCCAAACAAAAAAGTATAAATTTCTTTGTTTTTCTTATATTTCGCTCTCAATTTTTATTTGCTCTCTCTCAAAACAGTGAAATTTTTATAATTTCTCTGTTTTGGTTTTATTGCTTCTAATTAATTTATGCTTTTGGGAAATGTTAAAATGCAAAATGTACACAAAAAATTATAAAAAACTAATAAAACGCAATTCCCGAAAAGAGATAAGAAAAAATATACAAAAATATATACAAATTTTGTTTTTGTACTCAAATGCT